CAGTGTCTCAGGTTAATCACCTAAACTACAGTTCAACTTGAACAACTCCCGTCACTTTAAGAAATACAAAGTCACCAGAGCCAGGTGGTGGTGGCGCATGCCTTTAATTTCAGGATTCGGGAGGCAGAGGCAGAGGCAGGAGGATCTCTGAGTTCGAAGCCAGCCTGGTCTACATAGAGCTAGTTCCAGGACAGGCTCCAAAGCTACAAAAAAACCCTGTCTCGAAAAACAAACAAACAAAAACAGGCACCTGGTAGGGATGGCATACATCTTTAATCCTAGCACTCAGGAGGCAGAGGCAGGTGGATATCTGTGAGTTCAAGGCCAGCCTAGCCAGTTCCAGGGCAGCCAGGGCTATACAGAGAAACCCTTTTGGGGGGCGGGGAGAAGAAAAGAAAAAAAAAAGTCTCTTCACTGTGACTTTTTTTTTTTTTTTGTTTTTTTGAGACGGTGCTGGTATTAAAGGTGTGTGCCACCACTGCCTGGCATGACTTTTATAAAATAAAAAACAAGCTGTGTATTGGTGCAAAAATAAACATTTCAAAATGGAAGAATGGCATGAAACAGTCTCACTTAAACAAAATCAAAACCCAGCAGGGTAGACAGCAAACCTGCAGCTCCGTGTCCAGCATCTAGAGGCATGAGGAAATCTTCCAGGCTTCAATAGACTTGGATATACCCACCCCTCCAGCTCTTCTGCCTCTGCTCACGCGGGTTCTTCCTGAGGCTGGCTATGCTCCACGCCTGCCTCTCTCCTTGACTGATGAGCCAGTCCTGACATCTTCAGCATCCTAAGGTTTCCTTGGAAACAGAGGTCTCACCTTCACAGCTTCACACAGTGCTATTTCCTTAGCCTCGGTTGCTTTCCATAACACCCTCAGTCTTGGGGTTTTTAGACTTTGAACACCAGTACCGTGTGGAGGATGGTATGGCATTGTCAAGTTTTGATGCCAGCTTAAGGTGTAGCCAGGCCCTCGCTAGACCATTGATGTATCAGCTTCACGTGTTGATCCTGGGGATGCTCTTGGGTGCTCCTCAGCAGCAGCCAGAATGCACCATTCTGCCAGAACAGACCGTTATCTTTAAATTTAACTTTCTCAGATTCTCAGGACATGGGGTAAGTGAAGCCAGATTTCTGACCAAGGCATCACACGAATGGCCACTGTCTCCATTGCTGATGTATCGTTTTCTTCTGCAAGCTCACGAGCCAGGCCTCCACTGTCTGCGAATCCATCAGTGTCTGCAGCTCCTAAACGCCCACAGAACAGCCATAGGCGCTGCTCAGTAAGATGACCGTAGAGTTTGAAGACTTTCCAGGGTCTTGGCGTTGTGACGTCTCATTTAAGGCTTCTGCATTATTCCAGCAAAGGTTTCCTAAAAAGGTCTTTGGCAGTTTTCTTTAGTGCCCTTCAAGTAGAATGAGACAGAATGGTAGTATTTCCAGTGTAGCATATCTGCTGTGTTGCAGCTGGAGCTGAGGGAGAGCAGGGAAAATGAAATGACTCGAGAATCAGTCTCCCCATGTTCATCTAAGGAACCACTTGTCTTCACTCAGGTCCTCTGGAAGAGCCCTGTCTCCAGCCTCTAGACACGTTCTTAGGTCAGGCCAGGGTGGACCGAATAGACCTCCGGTAAGGAGAGGCATTCTCTGATTCCTCTGATTCTGTGCCACACACACTTGCTGCATCGTTAGATAGGAGAATCCCAGTTTCTGGTATTTACTGTTTGGTGCTCATAGCTGTGGCCCTGACTCTTTAGCCATTTATTTATTTATTAAAATCACATTTTATTAATATAAAACATTTTATAAACTTAACATGTCACATAGCCTTATAAATTTAAATGTTTTAAGAGCTTTTCCTTTAAAAAAAAAATCCAGTTTTAGCTGGGTGTGGTGATGCTAATCTCAGTACTAAGAGGCAGAGGCAGGTGGCTCTCTGTGAGTTCAAGGTCAACCTGGTGAGTTTGTTCCAGGACAGCCAGGGCTCTGTTACACAAAGAAACCCCGTCTTGAAAAACAAAATAAAACAAATAAATCCAGTTTTTAAATTTAAACTTAAACTCCAAAATTTCCTCTTAAAGAAGTTTAAAGTCTCTCAACTATGGGCTCCTGCAATATCAAAACTAAAGTAAAAACAAAAACCTTTTTTTTACTTCAAGAGGGAAGAAGCAGGACACAGCCACATCTGAACCCGGCAGAGCCAAGCTCCAACAGAGCAGAAAGCTTCGTGCTTAACAGCTGGGATTTGCCCACAATCCTTGGGCTTTGCTGAGGGCTCAGGTCACCTCTCTGGCCCAGCTTCAGCAGCTCACAAAGCCTGCCTTCTAGGTCCCAGCCAGATCCATTTCATAGCAGGTGCTGTTTCTGTTGGCTGTCACTGGCCCGGACATCCCCACAACTGCTAGGGTCCTTCCCTGGGCTCTCCCTAGGAAGTCCAGCACTGCCGCACAGTGACAAGCATCAGCTCTTCTCCGAGGTAGCCCTAGCTTTAAAACCAGCACCACCTGGTTGATTCTTATATAAGTTTGGCTGCCAACACAGGGTTTTTCCTTGCATATGAATGTGTGAGGCTTTGATACCTCTTAAACAAGCGTTGTTTTAAAATCCTATCCTTCATAAACCTTATTTTCATAGCTTTGTTTTCAGGGCAGGAATTTTTATACAAAAAAGAAAAAAATCCATCCTAATCCAAATTGTCTTGGAGACCCGTTGCCTCCTTGGTTGGTTTATGCTGTGTGGTCACCTTTAATCAAGATGACAGTGAAGTCACATGACATCCATCCTCTCCAACCCTAGCAAAGATGGATGCCTACTTCCTGATGGGGGACAACATCTAAGTTGGTGGCAAACCACGTGTTGTTTACATCCCAAAGTGGCCCCATGCCACATGGTTAAGATTACCTATGCATAGATATTTTTTAACCATCAACCCTGTGTTACGAGTTTTGTTAACTTTTTCCCACAGATTTTACAGATTTTTAACCATACCCAATAAAGTTACAAGTTTGGAAATACAGAATGTTCACATAAACCAGTAGTCTAATTTTTTTTTGGCTATTCTACTTTGCTTTATTCTCCTTGTTACAGCATCAGGTTGCTCCCCTGACCCTGGACGGAGAGACTTTGAAAGCGTGCCTGTGTCTGAAAAGGGGAAAGCCATAACCCAATCCAGAGACAGTTTTTCAATAAAATTGAGGAACATAAAAACAACTTTAATATTATTCACACTCAAAAGACGTTTGATCCCTTCTAAACTGAATCCAGTAGCCAGAAAGCTCAGAGATAAATTCTGAGCCCTGGCCATAAAAGCTGCCATGGTGGCAAGGGTGACTGGTGGCTGGCAGCAGCAGAAACAGCAAAAATATAACCAAGAAACGCAGAACACAGAAAGCTCACACACTCAGCAGAACAATCAGAAATGAACATGTAGTCGCCACTCTGCAGCCCTTCATTTCATTGATTCTGATCTGTTGCTCTCTCAGCTCCATGCTTGCAACAAAACTTGTGGACACTCCAGAAGCACAGCCCCATTGACAGACAGAACTTTCCAACAAGACAGACAGACAAAACTTCCTCCACGCATGAACCAGACAAAACTTTCCAACCAGCCAGAACCAGGCAGGTTTCACTGCTTACCTGATGTCTCACTGTTTTCCCTGAATGGGAGAATATTGGGGTCCCATTGAACCCCCTCCACATCGCAGACCAGGATCTCACAGAACAGAACCAGACCGTGACTCCCCAGGAGGCCTCGGTAGATGCTGAGGCTTTTCTCAGCATGGCATCTTACTTAAGTCTGTAAAACCAATGGCCGCCCTGGAGCCTTGAGAGGTCTCAAGGTGAGTGTCTCCTGCTGTGACCTCTCAGCAGAGTTCCAGAGTGATGGTCTGACTTTAGAATTTGGGTGGGTGGTTTGAATCTCACTGGGCCTCCAGAAAATGTTAATCCCAACAGTTGAGAGTAAGATTACCAGCATTTTTTACACCAAATTTGGAGCAAGCTTTAAATACTGGCCAAGTTTATTTTTCCCTCTTCCTGTGTTATTAATTTGTAAAGAAGCTCTCTCATTTGCGTCATCTCTAAACATTTCTGTATAGATAGCTAAAAGGAAGGCCTTTTGAAGAAATTTTTAATTTTATTATTGTGTGTGAATGTGTGTGTGTCCCTCTTTTGGTCAACAGTATAGAATTAGGAGAAAATATCAATGAGATCCGTGTCTGATATTAGAGAAAAACAGTTGGTCTCTCTCTCTCTTTCACACACACACACACACACACACACAGACGTGCATGCATGGTGTGCATGTGTCACAGTGCATTTGCAGGGGGCAGAGGACAACTTTCAGGTGTTGATTCTCTTCTACTGAGTGGGACCCAGAGATCAAAATCAGGTTGTCAGACTTGCTGGCATCAGACTTGCCTTGACCTATGATCTTGACTGGCCATCTTGCCAGTCCCCTACTCCAAATTAAAATTTTAAATTTTGGAATTGTTATAGATTCATAATGTGACAATCTGTAGATTCTCTGTACCCTTACTCCCCCATGGCATCTTGCAGAAGGGTAGTGTTGTGTCTCAACAGTCACATCAGCAAGGATACATCAAGGCCAACATTTCCATCACCTCAGAATCCTTTACACCCCACTCTCCCTTTTTTTTATTTATTTTTCTTCCTGAAAAGTGTATGTAGCCTTTGTCCTCACCATCCCCCTGCTTCAGCTTCCCAAAGGCTGGGGTTATAGACGTACTAGCACACCTCCTTTTCCCCCTAATTCCTGACATCCAGTGGTCTCTGGTTCTTTGGTTTTGTCATCTGAAGAGTATTAGATCGCGTACAGTGTGTAACCCTTTAGCATCAGCTCCTTGTAACTCCCTCTAGTTTCATCCACATTGTATCATGAATCCATCCCTTTTATCACCAGGTTTATCACTTTAAAGTCTCTCCATGTATAATCACCTGACTGACGCTTCTCTCTTTCTTTCACTCTCTCTCCTCCCAGGAATGCCAACGGAGTTTTCCTCTGTAAAGCTGAGAAGCGATTGCTCAAGGACCTCCCTGCAATGGTACACCCGAACCCAGAACAAGATGAGAAGACCCAGCGTGTTACTAAAAGACATTCTCAAGTAAGCACAGCCTCCAGGTCAACAGCATTAGATTCTGAAAGTTTGTACCTGGAGAAGTTATTAGAGGAAACCACTGGGTTCTAGAAGTGGGTTCAGACAGAGCTGAGTAAAACTCGGTGTGCAGAGGAGTGGGTTTGTGCGCTGCTCACATTTAATAGGTGGGTTTGATGGGAGCACCATTCCTGGCAGCTGCTCAGTGTCGGAGCCTGGATGACTGAGAACAGCTTGGATGCCTGTTCTTCATGCCACTGCTTAGCAAAAGAGGCATTCTTAGCTATTGTGAGCTAATGTAAATCTGGCAAAGTGAGGTATCCTCAAGACTCCTAGGTACCACTAAATATAGAACATTAGTGAAGACAGCAGATGTTGAAGCCAGGTGGTCCTTATATCCCAGCACCTAGGAGAATTAGCAAAGGAAGAACCTGGTGGGTTTCTTTGGTACCAAACCAAGTTGAAATCTTCCTTCTTTCTTTCTTCAAATTAAATCCCATTTTGTGCGTGTGTTTTCATACTCAGCAGTATGCTTTTGAAGGGCAGAGGGCAAATAGGTGGAGTCAGTTTTCTCCAGCCACCTTGATGTGAATCCCGGGCTCAAACTCAGATTGTCAGGCGTGGTGGCAAGTGTCTTTACCCACCAAGCCGTCTTGTCAGCCCTGTTTTTAAAAATCTATATATATTTATGTAGTGTGTGTGTGTGTGTGTG